AGAGAGAAAGAGAGAAAGAGAGAAAGAGAGAAAGAGAGAAAGAGAGAAAGAGAGAAAGTGAGAAAGTGAGAGAAAGACATACACAGAGAAAGAGAGACACAGAGAAAGAGAGAGAGAGTGAGACACACAGAAAGAGACACAGAGACACAGAGAAAGAGAGAGAGGGAAGGACATACACAGAGAAAGAGAGAATGAGACACGCAGAGAGAAAGAGAGAGAATGAGACACACACACAAAAAGAGAAGTAGACAGAGAGAGAGACAGAAAGAGAGAGAAAGAGAGAGAAAGACATAAACAGAGAAAGAGAGAGAAAGAGAGAGGGAGTGAGACACACAGAGAGAGACAGAGAGAGACACAGAGAAAGAGAGAGAGGGAAAGACACACAGAGAAAGAGAGAATGAGACATGCAGAGAGAAAAAGAGAATGAGACATACACACAAAGAGAGAGAGAGAGACAGAGAGAGAGAGAGAAAGAGAGATAGAGAGAGAAAGAGAAAGAGAGAGAATGAGAGACAGAGAGAGACAGAGAGAGACAGAGAGACAGAGAGAAAGAGAGACAGAAAGAGAGAGAGAAAGAGAGGGGGTAGGGAGGAGTAGGGAGGGAGGGAGGGGGGAGATTGTGATCACTATGTTCTAAGCTGAATCCCTAAGTCAGATGAATGTTCCTTCTTCCTGTTAACTAATTTCGCTCCCTCCGTTCATATTGTTCTTTTTCCTTAACTCCCTTTCATCTTGCTTATTATCATTGCTCCCATCATGCCTGCTGCAAAGCGTAGCCTTCCTTGGAATTAATCAAGTTCTGGCTAATCAAACGGCTGGCATTAGCATAAAGTTCAGTTAATTGTCTCCCTTCCACTTTACGAGGAAATAACCTCATAAAGCGCATTTCTGATTAGATGAAGGGCTCTTTCAAATAATAATAATAATAATTTTAAAAGGCAGTAAGTTACATCAGCTGGCTGCGGATGGTTTTTAAGGAGAAATAAAGGAAAATGATGACTGTTGGATTCGCTATTAGCCCATCTCTGCTCGGTATCTTTTTTCTTCTATTGTTTTTCCTCTTCTATTGGCGCTTAAGCTTTTTCCTTTTAGTCCTTCCTTTTACCCTCTGTCTTACTATGTTTTAGTTAATTTCTACCCTTGTTTTTAAAACTTTTAATAGCATTATATATATATATATNGAAATTGATTTTGCTCCCTGTTGCTTTGGAAGATGCTTTTCCACACGGCAATCTAGCCCACAGATTGTTCCTGATGGGCTCCCTCCAAAGACGAAGCCCTCCAGGATCCTGCTTAGCTTCCTGATGGCAGGTGAAGAACTCTAGGTATGGTTGCCATCTTCCTAGGCTGAAATGCCCTGAGCCAAAAGGAACCCTTTCCAGGAAGCCATCGTGACTGGTCAGTTCTTTGCCTCCATTGCTTTCTCCAAGATGTCTCTGGGGATTCTCAGTCTCCATCCAGGTCATGGTTGTCCCAAAGGCGGCTTTTTCAAGAGGCAACTGGACGTTCTGGGTTTTTCTCTTCTCACAGCTGAAGAAGCTTTGGGCACAAGAAGCGAAACCTCTTCAAAGAAAAACCAGGAAGTCCAGTTGTCTCTTGAAAAAAAAAAGCACCATTGGGTTTTCTCCCAAGATGGTTTTTCACATTGGGTTTGCTTGGAGCCGCAACCTTCTCTTGGTGGTCTTCCATCCCGGTGCTTGCCAACCCCACCCAAGGTTGCTCAACTTGATTGGGAGCAGAGAAAGTTGGATCAGTGCTGCCATCTGCTGAAGGTCCCTCCCTGGGTAAAGCACGCAGGGGCTCTGGTTCCCCCATGGACTAACCTGCTTGGAAAATAATGCTCCATGAAGGATAAGGGCTAGGATGGCACCCCGAAAGACTGGGAAGCCTGTCCTTCCCTCCTCCCTTCCTCCTCCCTACCTTCCTGCCTGACTCTCTGCCTCTTTTCCTGCCTTCCTTCCCTCCCTCCCTCCTGCCTTCCTTCCCTCCCTCCTTCCTGCCTCCCTCCCTCTTTTCCTTCCTTCCCTTGCTTCCTCCCTCCTTTCCTTCCTTCCCTCCTTCCCTCCCTCTTTTCTTTCCCTCTTTCCTTCCTCCTCCCTCCCTCCTGCCTCCCTCTGTCCCTCTTTTCCTTCCTTCCTGCCTCCCTCTTTTCCTTCCTTCCTTCCCCCCTCCTTCCTTTCCTTCCTTCCTTCCCTCCCTCTTTTTTCCCTCTTTCCTTCCTCCTCCCTACCTTCCTGCCTGCCTCTCTGCCTCTTTTCCTTCCCTCCCTCCCTCCTGCCTCCCTCCCTCTTTTCCTTCCTTCTTTCCTTCCCTCCCTCCCTCCTTTCCTTCCTTCCTTCCCTCCCTCCCTCTTTTCTTTCCCTCTTTCCTTCCTCCTCCCTACCTTCCTGCCTGCCTCTCTGCCTCTTTTCCTTCCCTCCCTCCCTCCTGCCTCCCTCCCTCTTTTCCTTCCTTCCCTTGCTTCCTCCCTCCTTTCCTTCCTTCCCTCCTTCCCTCCCTCTTTTCTTTCCCTCTTTCCTTCCTCCTCCCTACCTTCCTGCCGCCTCTCTGCCTCTTTTCCTTCCTTCCCTCCCTCCCTCCTGCATCCCTCCCTCTTTTCCTTCCTTCCCTTGCTTCCTCCCTCCTTTCCTTCCTTCC